TAAGAGAAAGAAAATAGATTTGGAGGAAGCGAAAAGAATAATATAATTAGGTAACCATTTAATGGTCTTTGGTGGATACATAAGGCAATCGTGTTAGTGTTATTTAGTGTGACAGAAATAAAACCCTATATTATACGTAAGTTTATTTGCAACACATCACAAAGTCACAATTTGTTTAACAGTACAAAATAATAACGAAGTTTAAATTACTAAACAGGAGTAAAAACAACCTGATTTAACAAACAGACGAAGTGCCACTTAACTTTCTTGAAAAGTAAAGGATATTAATTTTAGAATTATATTTAATGGAAATGCTAAACCCATTTGGGTCAGAGCTTTGGAGTTCGTGGGAATATTTTGATTTTCATGTTACGTGAAGAATTTAGGGGGATGAACAGTTACGTCTAAGCACCTCTCCAAAAGCCTTGGAGAAATGGAAGGGGATTATTACCATATATTCCCTGGGGGGGGGGGAGGGAAGGAGCTAAAGAATAGTAAGGCCAGAATTTCCAGTTATCTCTGATATCCAGTTGCATAGTTGCATATCGTCTCTGCTCACTCAGTCTCAACGTTGCACACCCATGGGGAAGCGATATACCAGTATGGGTCATACAACTCATGGGAAATAGGTAATCAGGTGCGGGACTGTGAACCAATAGTCTCAAAAAGGTATATTGCAACTTCTGTGCCTCAATAGTTAACATATTATGTAATTAATGGATATTAACATAGTGCGTATTTAGTGGATATTAACATGTGTAATTAATGGATATATGTAATATTTTTGCTTTTCAAATGTTCTACAGTAGAATTTAACCAAAGCATAATTTTTTTTTGGTACACGGTAGGTACACGGGTGTCTACAGTAGGTAAACAGGTGTAAACAGTAGGTACACAGGTATAAACAGTAGGTAAACATTTGTAGACAGGTAAACAGGTGTAAACAGTAGGTACACAGGTATAAACAGTAAACAGGTGTGAACAGTAGGTACACAGGTGTAAACAGTAGGTAAACATTTGTAAACAGGTAAACAAGTGTAAACAGGTACACATGTAAACAGGTAAACAGGTGTAAACAGGTACACAGGTGTAAAATAAAATACATAGTAATTAATGTACATCACAACAATCGATTTAGAGGCTCTATAATTGATTTTAGTCTATATTTTATTAAAAGATTGTAATTTAATCGGGAGGGAGGAATGCTAACCTGTAGGGATCGTATAGCTCCTGAGAAATGGAAGATAACCAGGTTCTGGCAGATACTACAGAATCTAAAGTTGTACATCAGCTCGTCAGTGTGATAACAACTATTGTTTTAAATTCCTCCGACTCTTGATTTTCAGTTTCCTACTCCAAGCTCCCAATGGCCTTGACACCAGTGAAGGGCTCTTAATCCAGAGAAATGGCCCGGTGGCCTGGTGGCTAAAGCTCCCGCTTCACACACGGAGGGCCCGGGTTCGATTCCCGGCGGGTGGAAACATTTCGACACGTTTCCTTACGCCTGTTGTCCTGTTCACCTAGCAGCAAATAGGTACCTGGGTGTTAGTCGACTGGTGTGGGTCGCATCCTGGGGGACAAGATTAAGGACCCCAATGGAAATAAGTTAGACAGTCCTCGATGACGCACTGACTTTCTTGGGTTATCCTGGGTGGCTAACCCTCCGGGGTTAAAAATCCGAACGAAATCTTATCTTATCTTATCTTCTCCCAGTATTGGGCCCGATTGCCTCTCATCTCCCCAAGGCACTATATGGCCTATTTTTGGTTTAGTGCTCCGCCCTTACTATAAAATAGCTCGCTCAAAGTAATCAGGTCACTAAATATTTCTCACCTCTTTCCTATCCCAGTCCTCCCCATCCACATTCAAGACATCCCGATCCCCTGGCCTTAAAAAAAGTTGAATGACCCCCCCCCCTCCCATCCTTCCTACAGGTTGAGTAATTTCCATATGATGACTGTTCATTGTTACATATTAAAGTATGTGCTGAAGATATATCATTTACAGTTTTCTCTCCATATTATTTTCCCTGTCTCCTATACACAATTTTTGTTGTCCTCACTCTGAGATAACTTTTCATAAAAAATCTATTTCTTGAGTGCATGGGATAGGCCATCCTGAGAGATGGTAATTCCTAAGTAACAGTAACTACAGCTCTTCTGGAAGGAAATCTTTGAAGCTCCCGTAGCTGATGTACGTTTTATGAAATACTTGACGATATCCTTACTGCCCCGCAGAAGTATTCCAGCTCAGGCTAACAGACTTCAGCACTATGTATGAAAGCCATCCTGTGTGATGGTATATGACAGGGAAGCATAAATACACAGCGGGAACAAAAGCTCTCATATATAGACCAGAGTAACAGTACACAGTTGATACATCCAATCTTGATAAATCTAAATTAATACTAGTTTCATAGGGGTTTAGTGCATGTATTTTATAACGATAATATTAACCCATAATTATAACAGATTGGCACTTGGTTCAATCACTGCAAAATATTGGTAGTTTAAAAAAAACTGTCCAGGAATGGAAATATTCATTGTAGCTTCAGCCAATGAAAACTACAACATTGATTATTATAACATGTTAAAAAAACGCAATCAGTGATGAATGTATACAACTTACAAATTGGAGATAAACATATGACGTTTTAGTTCATTTTGGACCTGTAGTCTGTGACCTGGTCACAGACCGGGCCGCGGGGGCGTTGACCCCCGGAACTCTCTCCAGGTATACTCCAGGTATCAAGTGAAAGGACCGTCTGTTGTAGACCATTCCTTGCAGCAGACGGGAGCCTCGTAAAAAATAGTTTCTTCTCTCTAAGTCTCAGACATCATAAAATTGCTTCCAGCCGCGTTATTGTGACCTTTATTTTTGATTGCTACAAAATTTAAATTAAAAATAGAAGCCTAATCTGTCAGTGCCGTCATTAACTCAGCTGCGTTATCATTCTACCTATTTATTAATATAACAGTTTAAATCAGAGAATTATTATTATAATCAAAAAGAAGCGCTAAGCCACAATGACTATACAGCGCCTTAAATCAGAGAAAAAATAATTTTAAGCTAAACAAAACTGTAAATTTGCTTATCAAAATATTCACAAAATACTTAGACCGGCGAAGAAGAACGTTGTGTAGTGTGAGAATAGGAGCAAAAATGGACCCCTCCTAGAGTACCTCGTTTACCTATTTTAATAAGGGGAAAGAGTTAAACTCTTATGGGTCATACTGCACACCTTGGGAATAGAAGGCATTCAGATTGATCTTTAGCGAGTATACGTCCAGTTCCTTTGATCAAGAGCCCCCCCCCCCCCCGCCCTCACTGGCATTACCTTCCTTCAGGGAATATAATCCTTAGAGGAGTCTTGATGCTGATGAAGGACTCGTGATAGAAGGAACTGCAGCTACTCTCCCCTTCCTTGACTCAAACCTAATTACGTCCCTGTTTCCAGAGGCACGGTATGAGTACGACCCCTTCGATTTTAGCACTTCCAAGATTATATAACTAATACAACTTTTTTTTGAGGATGATGTTTTTTATTCAACGTTATCGTTGTTTCGCTGCTGTGAAATACCATTGTTATATTTACCAAGTCTTTTTTTTTTTTTAATCTCGATAAGTACTGGGTTTCTAAGCGTAGTCGGTACTTAAATACTTTCCCGGAAATCAAAATAGTGAAGCAAAAACACGTTTCAACCACGTTTCGGAGAAAGTTTCCAATTTGACAACGTTTCGCTGTAAGTAGAACTTTATAGAAATTCTGCTAAGCTCTTGGTGAATAAGATATATGCAACAGTTTCGTTACCATTATTTCTAAAACATTTCGCCTGCGCAGCAGGACTTCAGAGTACAGACGTGACTAATATACTGGAAACGGTTGAAGAGAGTCCCAAATGTTCAGTCCTTCAGCCGTTGATCAACGGTATGGAATGAGAAACTTCCATCTAAGCTGAAGAACTAACCGTCTCAATCTGTTTCCAGCATATTAGTCACTTTTGTATTCTACAGAAGTCTGCTGCGCAGGCGAAACGTTTCAGAAATAGATACAAAAGTGTTGCCCTGTTTTAGTCATCTGCTTGTTGGTATTTTATACTAGTAATGTAAAGCTCTACACGGAGCAATAAAAGCTAGTTCTGGGAAAATAAACACAAATGCAGTATAATGCGATCCTTTACTGGCTACGTTTCGCCCACACAGTGGGCTTTATCAAGTTACAAACAGATCTGTGATGAATGGTTTGAAAAACCGACAAGTTGTCTCAATCACAAACAGATCTACCCGGGTAAAGAGTACATAGGTATATATAGTGTGGCGAGTCAGGTGGAGAATGCTGGGTAGGCTGGATTTGAGATGGACCTGCAAGAGACCCACAGTCTTCACCTGACTCGCCACCCTATTTATCATAATGTACTCTTTACCGTACTGTACTGTATACCATTTGATAATCACTCTTTACCCAAGTCGATCTGTTTTTGACTTGATAAAGTCCACTGTGTGGGCAAAACGTAGTCAAAAAAGCATCTCATACTGCATGTGTTTGTTTCTCCATCTTGTCGGTATTTTATACCATTTATCTCCAAAAGCTAGTTCGGCAACGTGTATCTTGTCTTCACTATCGTTGGTAGTGCGCCATTTGGATCCATGTTTCGTATTGACTGCAATTTGTAGATGAATGGTTCAGAGAACCGACATGCTGATAAATTAGACACATGTGCAACTCTTGGGTATCTTTATTGAGGAAACGTTTCGCCACACAGTGGCTTCATCAGTTCTTCAAGTTTCTCCTATGTATGGACTGATGAAGCCACTGTGTGGCGAAACGTTTCCTCAATAAAGATACCCAAGAGTTGCACATGTGTCTAATTTATTGACTGCAATTATTGGACCCATGGTTAAAAGTACGTGAGCAAACAGTTGGGAGATTTTATTAGGATTTTTTTTTTTTTTGGCCCCTTGTTCACTTCAAACATACACGGGGAATAAGAAAACACAAGTTCATAGAAGGAAAGGCACATGCGAGTACTGAAGTTTATTTAGTAAGGTCAGGGGAGCTGAAGAGTTATAAGGTTAGACAAATTAAAGAGTTGGATTTGAGAGGGACCCGTTTAGCATGGGCCAGTAGGCCTATTGTAGTGATTCTCATTGTTCACCGGATAACTGTATTCTGAGGTAGGTAAGGCGATGTGCATTTGAGAAACGTTGTACCACCGTGGCAGACATGGTACAGTAAATATTTTTGTTTTCTCCTCTGAACACGAGTCTTCTTAAATCTGTCTCCCTGATGACCATCTGGGCTTCGTCCTATTTCATTAAAAGTCCCTGTCCCAATGCATCACTGGCATTACGTTGGTCAGCCTTTTTACATGCATATTTGTGTTCTTTGATCCTAACAATGAGACTTCTATCAGTTTCCCCCACCCACTTGTTGTCAGTGCCCTTCACGGGATAGTGTAGACATCAGCGGTAGCTGGTGTCTACACTACTGAGTCAAGTGTTTAGAAGCAACCCTGATAGCACTAATAAACACTGGAGAGGAGAAAGCGGGTAGATATACTGTACAGTACTCTGTCACGTTGGCACACGTGCTTCTCGAACACACACACCGCCCTTCCCACCTCTAGACATGGCCACGAGGTGAACACAGAGCAACGCAGTAGGCCTACTAACCTGTTTTTTAAAGCTACTCAATGACTACTTAGTGACTTCACTACTGTTCAGCTCACTCCAAATATTCCATTACCTATATAAACTTAGATTTTCTCAAGCTCCATGCACAATGTGTTTAGAATGAACAGTCCCAGAATTGAAACTTTTTCCATAATATGTCCCCTGTCATGCGTCTTTTACCACAGCTTGTCGGCATTATTTACAATGTTTTCACTATTGACCCTTACATTGTCAATGCCTCCCACAGCATCATCAGCGCCAGCATTCCAAACATCTACGTATTTATTTTCGCTTTTTTATTTTCGACTGACTGCTCCTCGTCATCACTGATGTCATGGCCACCCACTGGGCGATTACTCTTACCCTCACCATGAGGATCCTCATGGTCAGATTTGGTACCATGACGCTTACTGGCAAGGCTGACAGTATTCTCCTGGCCCTCAGAATCATCAGCAGTTTTTCCATTTGCATCGCCAGCGTCACCAACCTTTTTACTTGCACCATCAGTGTCATCATCTTTTCTATTTGCACCGTCTGCATCGCCATCCTTTCTGTTTGCACCATCAGTGTCACCATCCTTTCCATTTGCACCATCAGCGTCATCCTTTCCTGTTACACCTCCAGCATCAGCGTCGATAAGGACTTCATTTTCAACAGAAGCATCACTATCGATGACCTCAACTTCAGGCCGCAAGACGGCATCCAGACGCTGCTTCAAGAACTTGAAGATGCTGTGGATGCTAGCCCAGGACGTCATCTCGTGCACGGTCACACCTGCAGAAGGAAAACACAACATTCAGCATCTATCTAGCACGTGTTGCTATGGCTAAAACAGGAAAAGATTTGTGATTACTTTTTCATATTATTTCTTGTAGGTTACACAACTTTTTTTAATTGTGTAGGGAGCATGTACACCGTTAAGGAACACTCACAGGAGACAAGACAAGCACGCAGTTAAGGAACACTCACTCTGGCATGCAAGACCTGCAATAGCACTCGTGCACACAGGTAAATAAGAACTGTTGTCTCACTTTATTATTCTCAACCTCCCGCCACCCCTCCATTACAGTCCCTATACCCCCTCCGTCCTACCACTCTGCCCTCTCTACCTCAACATTTATAGTTTTTTATTAATTATAACAATTGTCCCTGCCCTAACTTTAATTCCTCTTTACCTACACCATCTTTCCTGTCTTCCAAAGCTATCAATCAGCCCTTGGCCCTAGCCAATCAAGCACTATCCCCTCTACTTACTAGCCCTCGCCCCTTTTCTATATAGAGTAGGATAGCAGCACTTTGTGTATTTAACTAATTTTGTTAAAAAAGTGACACTCAGTCCCTCGCTTCTTAATAGTTCACACTGGCCTTCTATCGGCAGCCGTGACCTGTATTTAGCGTACCCTAACTCCCCCCTTCCCCCAAGCTGCACACTTGCACGTCTCCTCCCCCAATATCACCACTCTATTTTATCTCTCTGCAGTCCAGGCTACCGAGAGGAAGAGAAAGAATTTTCACCTCTGTGCCGATCTTCTCACAGATGTTTTATAGGTGTGAGTGGTCGAAAGATAAACAACGCGGAGCACTGCAGATATTACGTGTGAATGTACTCACCTAATTGTAGTTGCAGGGGTCGAGACTCAGCTCCTGGCCCCGACTCTTCATTGAACGCTACTAGGTGTGTGTGTGTGACAGACACACACAGAGACAGACAAGGCACTGACCGAGACTGACAACTTTTCTCGCATTCTTAAGGCCACGTAAGCATCACTATACAATAAGAATCCGTGTCATAAACATTGTTCCATGTGCGCCCTTTATTATTGCAATGTAGACGAATTGTGAGTAGTAGTAGGAGGCAGAGGAGGAAGATGGAGAAGAAATTGGTTATAGTGGTTAGTTAAAGGACCGCTCACAGAAGAAAAAAAAGACACGTGTCTGGGTGGCCAAATATTGGCCATGTAAATAATGGTCATGAGGTGGAATTTACACCAGTATAGTGAGTTAAGGCACTTGTCGATAGACGTTTAGCTTTGTGTGTGTGTGTTTGTATTTGGGATTTGTTTACCTAATAAACTAAAGGCGACGGCCATTCCCTTGGTCGCTTCTTCCTCGTCCCTTGTTGATGCTAATTTAAGAAGGCCAGGTATAAGGAAAACATTGTTCTTACTGTGAAAAGAGAGATAGGGGAGGAGAGAGAAGGATATGAGAAACAGTGATAGATCTACTTTTCTTTAAGACAAATATCTCCTGACGCAAGCAGGCAGTGCCAACTAGCCATACAAACCCAAGGGCTGTGTTGACATGATCGCTCGTGTGTGCGATCGTGACGATGGTAGACACTATTCTTGTACTACGAGTAATGATCGTGCGTATTTAAAAGTGCGTGTTTTGAAACTTCTTGTTTACACCAGGCCACCTCGTTGCCAGATTTATCGCGGCCACTTTAAAATGACTAATTCCCATGTAAATACAATTTTTTGAGGGTTAGGCAACGGAACCGAGCTTAAAATAGCACTTGTAAATTTACCGTAAGCGTTAAAAAATCGACTTTAGGAACCTCTTACGAAAATTAGCATTTTCAAACGAGGATATATTAAGTTGGTATCATGGAAAGGAAGAGACGACAGAAGACGCGAAGAAAAACAAGAGAATAAGCACATTACTCTCACTTAGAAGAGATATCCGTGTATGGGTACTGGTGGTTAAAGTGGTAGCGCCTTCAGCTCACATCTGGAGGACCTGGGTTTGATCCCAACACAAGTGAAATCTTTAGGAATGTTTTCTTATATTTTTGCCTCCTGTTCTCCTCTAAGTAGGTACCTGGGTGTTAGTCGACAGTTTGTGGGTGGCGTCCTGGGGCAGAGGAACAAAAGACCCCGATGGAAATAAATTACACACTAGCTTTATTAGTTTATCCTGGGTATAGTTATTAAGACATGCAGAAAAAGCTTTCATTAGATGTACGTTTCGCTCAGGATTGATAAAGTTCAACCCTGAGCGAAATAGTTTCCCATGAAAATCTTGCTTTGCATATTGTGTCAGTTAGGGAACCTTGTTCAAACGTCTCTTCCTACCAAAGATTAAACCCAGTCCCTTTTGTTAGTGGGTGGTCACCATCCCAGGATTAATCCCGGGTCCCTTCGTGAGCTGAAAGCTCTACTACTACGCAACAAGTGTTGTACTGTCCTAAATCTCGTTATCACTTATTCTGATTTATTACAAGTGCTGTTCAATCATTGTTCTCGCCAAATTTCGCTAGTTTAGCATGGTAATGTAACTACAACTGTTAAATGTACCTGCCATAGTTGGACGAATGTTACTGTAGCCAGCTGGCCCAGTGGCTTATGCACTGGCCTGGAGTTTTAAGACTCGCTTGCCATGGGTTCAAAACCTACCAGTATCGTGGTCTGTTTGCGATCGTGTCATTACCATTTCGTGAGTCAGCTGACTGTGAGATGTACCTGCCATGTGACTTACAGCTTTACACACACACACACACATCGAGAGATGTGTTTCTCGGTGTATATATGCTGAGATTTTGCTTTAATCTCTAAAATAAGGCTTAAAATATCCTTGGCTGGTAGTGTGAAAGTTACTCGCCTCCTTAATAACCTTCGGGAAGCCGACAAGCGATGCTGTTTTATTGGGCTTTAGTGCAAGTCGTGTTTTTTTTTTTTTAATTAAAACGGTGCCTGTAGGGACTTCGAGCAACTTAGAGTTTTCCGACATACACAATTTAATGGGGGGGGGGTACTAATGTGGGTTTTTTCAACTTAGCGTGATAGTTGTGCCTGATGTGGATCTTTTCGTCATGGTCGTGTTTACTCGTGTTTTGTTACAAATTCTTACCTTGGATGTTCTTGTGTGTGCTCTGTAGTTATTCTTCACGGAAGAGTGCTCAAGAATGATGAGTTATGTTCCATCAAAGAGCTCTCCAAATCTCTCAACTTCCTTATTTCTTGCAGTGTTGGAGGGAGCCGCCTACGTTGTTGCAGAGAGCTACTTGGAGTATTGTTGGAGTGAACCATTTACAGTGTTGGAACTACCTATATTACTGTGGGGAGCCACCTACACTGTTGCGGGAAGCTGCCTGCAGTGTCAGAGCCACCTACAGAGTTGGTGGGAGCCACAACAGAGGCAGTAATGAGGTACTGAGCCTTGGGCAGTAATCCTTCAGTAATCTGTTAATCCCCAAGAGCGTGACCGCCAGCGCCTCCCCACGCCACGCCTGGCTCCGCTGATAGCGCCGGCGGAGGGGGAGTGGGGACGGCTGCGGGCAACTACTACTCTCCCCCTCCCCTAACAGCCACACAATGACAAGTTATACACATACACACAGCGAAGAGACGGGGCCAGGAGCTATAACTCGACCCCTGCAACCACAAATAGGCGAGTATGTAAATTCAAAGTCAAAATAACTCCATGATATCTAACCTGAACATTACGAAACCCACTTCAGTGATGCAAAGTATCAGCAACGAAATATAAACTAATAAGACTGTGGAAGGCAGAGGAGTGAACCGGCAAAGTATGTGAAGAATTATCTAAAAAGTTCAAAGAGATTTTTATCAAAGAATCAGGAGAAGGGGCTGCGAGGGAGACAAAATTCGAGCAGCAAAAACCAGTGGAAGTTTTACCACCAAAGATCGAACTGAGAGAGATGCTAAATACTTTGCGAGACGAAATCAGTGGAACCAGTCAGGACTATCACCTTGGGTACTCGACTCTTGCGAGGAGCGCAATAACTAAGCCACCCCTGAGCGTGGACTTCGAACAAGTGGAGGGGAAACTCTAAAACTGCAAATGTTATCCTGATGCACAATAATCCAAAAACACTTAACGACAGCTGCGTTTTACTGATCAGGATTCTTCCCCGTAAAGATTGCAACTTGTAACACATAGCACAGAAGAACAAGACACATGTGCAACACTTACCTGGAGAGAGTTCCGGGGGTCAACGCCCCCGCGGCCCGGTCTGTGACCAGGCTTCCTTAGGTCAGTGTCCCAGGATGCGACCCACACCAGTCGACTAACACCCAAGTACCCATTTTACTGATGAACATAGACAACAGGTGGAAAGAAACACGTCCAATGTTTCTACTCTGGCTGGGAATCGAACCCAGGCCCTCACCGTGTGAAGCGAGAGCGTTAACCACCAGGCCACCAGAGCCTGTGGAGACGTTCTGCCAACCAGTGGCTTTATCAGTCTCGTAAACAAGCAAAAGGTGGAAGACAAGGTTATTAATCACTTAGCCTTGAAAGGTGTAAAGTACCTCAGCCTTGATAAATCGGAAGCAAATTCACGGGGACTGAGACATGTATACTGGAGAAAACTGAGATGAAGCAGTTCCAGATGGTGCCAAAGATGGGCGGAGCCCCACTACCGGAATTAGGTCATGATAATAAATTGCTTAATCGACTGTTATGACCTACTTCTATTAGTGGGCTCCACCCACCTGTGACACAGTCTTGCACTAGTGGACTCCACCCACCTGTGACAGTTTTACACTGCCTCACCTCATCTGTCTGCAGGATACAAATCTGCATCCGCAGTTGTCTGCTTCAGAATTATCGAGGTTGAAAGAGTGAAACCCCCCACCGAGGATGAGGCGTGAACCCCCCACCGAGAATGAGCTCATCACGTCAATTTACCCAGTCATCCACCATTCACTCGACTGGACAAACGACTCGAAAATAAAGATACACAAGTACTGTAAATATATCTTACTCATCTACGTGTCGCAACTGTTTACCATCAATAACAAAGATAAGTA